TTTACCTATTGGGTTGATCCGTTTGATCCCTCCGCTAAAAGATAACGCGAAGTACCGACTAATTGGAGCAATTTTAATTCTACCGTATTTGTTAGATACTAATCTCCACGTTGTAATCTTCGCGAAATAAAATGGAGCACATTTTTTAATCGTATATGCCGAGATATTCGACCCCTTCTCTCTCTGTATACTCTTAGAAAATACTTGAGAAAGATGTTACGATCGTTACTATTTTACGATCCATTTTATCTACTATTACCGAGCTTAGAGTCCGATTGAAATTTTATGAGGCTAGTTAACGTACTAGGCGTTAAATACGCAAATGACTAAAGAAAGAAAGAAGGAAAGAGAGAAGGAGAGAGAGAAAGTGTATGTGTGTGTGTGTGTGTAAAAGGAAGAAAAAAGGAAGAGGAAGAAAGTCTTACAGGTTAAAAACATGATTTAATAAACCATTTAGGGTTACGCAGAGTATACCTACTCGGTAAGAACATTTACAGTAGCCGAGTACGGTGTAGCACTTTTGTTAGTGCCGCGAAAAGCGAGAACCGAGTGATACGAGGCATTCCAAAGATAGCATAATTGCCGGCGCGTACAGAATCTTGTAAGATATGCGCCGTCGACTCGAATGACAGTGCTCGATCACTGTCAGATCGACGTTCCACGCCGGTGGAATACCGCCGCGGTAAAAAGACCTTCCTTTAAAGCTTCACAAAAAGAATATGAGAAGAAATGATGGGGAGAAAGGAGAAGTACGTAAACGGGAAAACTCGAAAGTCGATCGATTCTTCTTCTCTTCGCGTCATTCCTATAAAAGAATTATCATTTTCATTCGATTAATGGATCAATTGATATATGTAAGAGATCGTTTACATGATATACTATATCTTATTTTTCTTATCATTTATTAGAATATTCTCTATACTTTTTCTCTATCATAATTAATTATGAAAATACATGATGCTTAAGTAATTTTTTTAATGGATTTTTTTAATTTTGTTTTTTAGTATACCTTTTGCTATCGAACGAACATTTGTTAATATTTGAGGTAAAAGATGTATAACTATGATTATAGTAATAGCTATTAATACCGTTTTTAATATATATTACATGATTATAATTTCAATATTTAATTTGAAGATTAAAAAAATATAATGTGTAAAAGGTTCGAAGCATCGAAATATGAAGAGCGTCGAAAATTGATAATATTTCAATGATCGAAGACTCTACGAATTCTTCCTTATAATTGGTAGGCATTTGCATGCGATCTTTACACTTATTGAGGTTTATCCGCGCACCGCTTGCTCCTCCTGTCCGTTTTTTATCATTTATGCTGGACACACAACCGGCTGGTAGCACGCGATACCGGTTCGTCCTTCTCTCCCCCTCTTTCTCACTCTTATTCTCCCACCAAACGACTTTCCCCCTTTCCTTCCACGCCGATGAGACTGCCATTTTGCGAACGGCATGGGTCGTTGAATGGAATTTTATGGTAAAATTTTATGAACTTAGTTTATGAAGTAATTTTATGTACTAATGACGAGAAACAGCTGCATGAAATCATTGTAAGAAGATAATTGTACGTGAAATAATTGTACAGAATATTGTCGGATGAAATAAATAGATAATAATTGTTCGACATATTTTCTTCCTCGGCTCTTATTTTCCATTAGTCATCGTATCGATCGCTTAAAGCAGTACGAAAATACAACGTCGTCGGGACGATAGAATATGTTGGATTTTATTCGAAGAACAATTAATGTTGCCACTGCCTCGCGTTAGTACATGCCTTAGTAAGGCGCGACACGTGTTCGTTGTTGTTCGTAAATGCTACTCCCTGGCTCGGTTTTCCGTGAGAACGTTTACACATGACACACATAAATACTATTCCGCTCGACGCCTAGAATCCTTCGAATCTGTAAGCGGGAGAAGTAGATTTCCCTGTTAATCGCGAATACATTTTCTTTGAGCAACTATTTGTGTCGTAATTACATTACATTTTAAGGAAAAGACGAAGTAAGAAAACGAGAGATAGGATAGATAGGAAAATCGTGAGAGGTAAAGCTTGTGCTTTATCATCTCTCGTAACGAAAGTTAAAAAGAGAAAGAGAGAGAGATATAAAGGGTGTCCACCCTTCCTCTCCTTGTTATCATCCTCATCGACTCTCGTTCTATCGTCGAACGTCGACCAACGTGGAACGACGAAGAATCGTATTATCGTTGAGCATCGCTCGACGATTAAATACGCCATTAAATCATTTCCGCTCGATTAGGAAGCGCGGAAAATTCATTTCGCGACGAAACAATGTGCGCAATTTGCTAGATAACGAACAAAGAACAATTAATTCAGTCTATCGGCCTTTCGTTCTTGCATTCGTGTAAAATAACCGAGTGTAGGTACCCCTTCCCATCCATTTGATAATTTCGAACGAACTTGAGGAAAAACTTCCTTCCTTCCTTCCTTCCTTCCTTCCTTCCTTTCCTTTCCATTTCGTTCTCTTGCATCGGTAGAAAACCGATTTTCTAACAAGTTGTTTGAAAATACCTACGCGCATCATTTCTACTCACTCGTGCGTTACCTAGTTCAAATTGTACCTACATGAATAAATTCAATCCTATCACGGGCATGCTAATTTCATACAACAAGATTCTAGGCTCGACGAAAGCAATACGAGAACTAACTCATCTACATAACACGTAGTCGCTTACGCTTTTGAGAGTATGTGCGTAGAGAGCGAACAAGTGGGGGAAAGAGTAAAGGGAAGGTAGAAAGGGGGTTGGTCGGAGAAAGAGAAGTGAAGGAGACGAGAGAAGGGTCAAACTAAAGAGAAACGCGAAGTTCGCTTCGTTTACCTTTCGAAGCTTTTAGGCCAGGAGCTTTAGGCGCCGTAAAACTCTCGCATCGTTCACTAAGAAAAAACAAGCCAGATAGAAAGAAAATAGTCAATGTCGAAGAAAGAGAGAAAACATTCGAACGTTCATCCACACTGAAAAGTTCCGAAATATTAGTTCTACCGTCAAACGATAGAACTTGCCCACGGACTTTCGAAATATATTCCTTCTATACCTCTCCCTTCATTCTTTTTTCTTTCTCTTTTTCTTTCTTACATGTCACCCTTCTCGTGGGAGCGTGCGAAGCAATAGAAATTTTATGACGCCGTACCACTTTCCCCATTCCATCGTTGTTTCGAGAGCTTGAAACATCTTCACAAAACTGATCACATATGCGTCCTCTAAGATCGATACGACCGATTGGATAAAGAAAGGATACTATTCAAGAATGACTCCCAATCGATTCGACCTAAATTTTACGCGTTTCCTGGGATCGTGTTGAAAATGTAGAACGATATGATAGAAAATAAAGTTTGATGACTCAACTAGATATAATATTTATATATAGCTGTTGTCCGCACCCATCGCTAAAGGTTAATTAAAATAATTAATTTTTTATTAAAAAATTATTAATGAGACATTCTCTATATATTAATATATTTAATAGAAAATATATATACAATACATATAATAAATATATTTATAATATTATAAAATAAAAGCTTATAGATATATTTATTTATGATTTTTCTTCTAAAGAATCCTTTGATGCATCTTTCAAGAAAATGTAATCACTATATGTGATTTAGGCATCCGAATAACTCGTGGCTTCGAATCGAATCTTGACGACGAATTTAGTTATCCGGAATCGATTCGTCTTCGTTAACGAATTCGTAATCAACTTCGATCGTCCGAAAGCGACCATTTGAAATTTCATGAGCTTCCTTCTAACGGACATAATTGGAAGAATTGTTTGGAATCAAGTGTTAAAAGAGACAGAAAAATGAGAGAGACAAACTATATATATATTAACAATTATATTATTAACTATTATTACTCTTATTCGTTTCCATCAATTAGAAGTGATGTTTAAAGAAATTAATTTGGACAAAAACAAATATTCGTCAGAGTCTTTCACGACTTCGAATCGATTTTCCGAACGCTCGAGTTATCGAATCGAAAGGAAAACTAATAAAATATGTATGCTACTTCACCGGTAAACCTTCTATTTTTAGTGCATGTGCGAGAATGAAGGCATCGACGAAGGTAAAAGTCAAATAAACTCACATATAGAGTATGTAAATTGGATTATAATTGAAAAATCACGCGAATTCTTTGCCATAAAGTTATAACAGAGTGAAAGTATATATTTATTTTTATTTTAAAGAATATTTCAAGGTTGTAGACGTGCAAATAAAGTATGATTCTAGGAATGCTCGATGAAAAGTGATCGAGAAAAAAGAGGAAGATATAAAAATGAAGTAAAATTAATATTAATTAAACATAATATAAAGCAATAAACTTTCTTTCGAATATTATATTACGAATTTAAAAACAAGTAACAATTATAAATTCGTTACATTTATATAATATAATCCTAAGAATAAACAATTATTAATTAAACGAATCTTTATAAAATTGTAAACAATTTACAAATAATCGATCTCCAACACATACACGCGCATATATAATTATAGAAGTCCGATTTGTTTAGAAATAAAATCTAAAAAGAGACAAAAGTAAATAATGAAAATAAGGGAAGAAATATGATATAAGAGAGATAGATATGACAAGTAAAGTACTCCGTGCAAGGAAGTAGGTAAAGGCTTGCACTCGATTGGCGTCAAGCGGTGTCGAGCGGGCGTCTTACCCCTCCTGAGACAGACACCCACTGTGGTAAAGAACGAGAACACTGATACTAAACCGCGATTCGAGTTGCACCGAACGACAGTTGAACGAAAGTGTGTTCCGAGACTGGATCACGTCTGCTATGCCGTGGAACACAGAGAGTAACGTGTGTTACGCTTTCTCTCTCTCACTCTCTCTCTCTACACACACGATATAGGCTCCTGTCGTTGATTTCGAATCCCTCTTTCACTCTCGCTCTCTCTCTCCTCCCTCCTCCCTCCTCCCTCCTCTCTCTCGCGCGCGAGAGAGTTCTCTCAGCAAGCGTAGTTCACGGATTCGCGATCGATCATTCTCGGCGATTCCAAGCTTTGAGAGGGAGTGAAGAGGAGTAAAGAGGAAGGAAGAAGAGGAGCCCGCGTATAGGAAAACGCGCGCATACGCGACGCCGCGCCGCCGGTTCGTTGAAACTCCAAGGATCCAGTCTCGATCGGTCCACGGATCCAACCGCGCCGTTCCGTTGCTCCACGTATTTTGTCCTGGCCTCCTACTAAGTGCTATCTATCTGTGTTTTCAAAAACAAAAAAGAGATAAACAACTTATCAAGTGTCCGTTAGATTTTATTTACTTTAACTCCCTATATACGTTTTCGTTTTCGTTTATCGTTTTCTTTGATTATTTCGTTTAATCGTCCCCCGCATTGTCGTCATCGTTATAGTTTTTCTTTACGCAATTATAGAAAAGGAATGGATATTAAAAAAGTGACAGGTGCATCAACGTCGTCGTCGTCGTCGTCAACAACAACATTTGAACATCATCGTCGTCGTGGTCGATCTTCCGAAGGGTTGAACGATTTCGAATAGCATTTTTTCTCGAGGACTATCCGTGGTCGCGAGAACACGCGTATCCTTCAATGGAGATGAAAGGTTAGAATGAGAGAGAGAGAGAGAGAGAGAGAGAAAGAGAGAGAGTGAGAGAGAGTGAGTGAGTGATCGAAGAGAAGGAGGGAACGAATGGATGGATAAATCTCGTTACGATTGAAACTCCGAGTATCCGAAAGAGAAAAGGGGAAAAGAGATAAAGAAAGAGAGAAACAGAAGGTAAAGGAGGGTCATCGTGCGTATTTAGAGAGGTGTGTAGAATCATCGTGTACAGGTGCTGTGTGTGCCTCGAATCAGTGCTCTTTGGTAACATCATGATCATGCGACGCGAGTGCGATCGAGTACTCTCGAGTGCTACCGAGTGCGTTTCGAGTGCGAGATACTTCGGGATTATCGTAGAACCACGCGAACGGGCACGCGTACGATCGCCATTGAAGTTGATAACAACAGGAAAAACAACAAGCATGACGATGACGACGATAACAATAGGAAAGACCACATGTTTTCAGGAGTAGGACCTATATACACCGACATAATCAACGAACTCCTAGTGGCCGGACTTGGACTCCTATATAAATACACGCATACGTATACATGTGCATTTACATATATGTATATGTATATAGACAGCTGGGGAGGAAAAACGAAACGTATTGGAGCGTTGGTAGAACGATAGTCTGGCAACCTTACCGCGAACGGTAAACCTTTCGATTGTATAGTTGCATCGACTACAACGCGTTGTTGTGCTCTGCCAGGGGCAAATTAATCCGGCGTTACGTACACGTGGACATCAACCATCAACGAACAGCACCTACCTACGTTTGTACGCGTGAGTTCAGATCGCATTCGAGCTACACCGGTAATTACCGTGCGGTCTGCACGACCGGTCGTTTCCGGTCGATCGACGAGACAAGCCGAGCTACCCTAACGACGAATTCATCGTACTTCAGGATTACGAACAGTGCTTCGCAACGATATTTTTCTATTGTTCTTTCTTTTTTCTTCATTTTTACTAGTTACTTATTTTATGTCATCGAGATTTCTAAGAAATTTTCATATTTTCACGAACGATTGAGTGCAAAAGTGGAAGAACGAAGATCTTATTCGTTTAATTCTCGATAGAAAATCATCGAGTTTGGATCCCGCGAATTCTCTTGAAAGGTGAGTTATCTTGATTTTTAAACTCGCCAACGCGCGTACGGATGGTGTGCATTCTTCTTTTTGCTCTTGTTTTTCTTCTTATCTCTTCGTAGAGGAGTGAAGAAGGTGGAAAGAAGAATGCATTGCTACCGGCAGTGCCTGTCGCCGACAAATCCTCGAAATCGAATTTTCCGACGACGAGGGTCCGTTCGAAAGAACGGAGAAGCTGGATCTTCGAATAGCGGAACGTATATACGTGTACGTGTATGTGTTTGCGTGAATGTGTATGTGTCTATAAGCGCATAAGAAAAAGAAAGAAAGAAATAAAGAAAGAAAGAAAGAGAGAATTCGAGTAAAAGTGTGAAAACGAAAGATAGAAATGCTTTTCTATAAAATAGTCTTTAGAAAACGAAAGAAGGAACGTAAGAACGTAACGATTTTCTGTGCTTCCACTTTGAAATTTACTCTCGTGCGATTTAGCAAATTGAAAACGTATGACGGATCGTAACGGGAAGTTCTTGGATTTTCCTAAAAATCCTTATTCAATATGGGATACAATTTTTCTGAGAAAACAATGATTTAATAAACGTTAGCAGTTGAAAACATTTTAAATTTCATTTAAAACCAACGTTGAATATTTTTGGTGAAAGAATTTTATCAAAATTAGAGATATGAAAATATCTCTACTACAAATTACAATAGAATTATGAATATATCATTCAGAACGCAAGGTAAATGATTCATACGTATAATATTTAATCATTACCCGGACTTATGATTAATATTTTTTATCAACAGCGTTTACTCCCCCAAATACTTCGTTACAAAAATAATGAAAAATACTAAATATATATATGATATAAAAAATAAATTATTGATAATAAAAATAAATGTGTAGTCAAATAAGAGTGAACATATTCGGAGAGGAAAGATTCTTTCAAGCATCTCGGAGCCCTATTTCCTTATCTGGAGGCGTTCGTGCATACATATCCGTTATATATACGTCGTTCGTCATCCCCGCGAATAGTGAAAAGCGAAAAGGTTATCGCAATATACCGTCGCGAATACGCTCCATAGAGTTTTGGACCGTCCGTCGAAATGCGTGATATTGACGTCGCGGCAAGCTGTGCGAGTGTCGATAAGCAAAAGGGTCATAAAACGAAGAACGAGGAGGAAACATTGCACCAAGATTTTCCTCTTCTATTTCTCTGTTTCTCATCCTCTCTTTCTCTTTCTCTTTCTCTCTCTTTCTTTTACAACAAATTTATCTACAGTCTCTCGTTTAAGTTATCTCTGACTAAACGAAAGACCGACTAACAATAAGCTCGCGGAAACGTATTCTCGAGAGAGAAAACGTATGAAACGTTACGTGTAATGGTTCTTACGTTTAAATCGTCTCATGAAAGAGAGAAAGAGAAAGAGAAAGAGGAGTAAGAGAAATACAGAAGAGGGTGGGTGCTGCTATTGCACCTCGTTTCAGGCCGTACGAGCTACGGAGACAAAATTGCACCATTTTCCTAAATGGATGGTACCTACCAACGGAAGCAATACACAGACCCTATGAAATTATAAGGGATATATCACGAGTCGCAGTATACGGAGAAAGGACTGAGACATCTTACCTTGTTCACGGTTTCCTTAGTGTTTCTTAGAGACGAAAGTTAGGTTGATGCATACCAACGCGTAGGAAGACCAAGCAAATTATCGTGCAACGGGTATATCTATACGTGACATTTTCTCGCAATCGGAACTTTTCGACCTTCGACCCTTTGGATATTCATCGAGTATCTTTCTCAAAGAAGTGTAATAACGAGCGTCAGTTGTATTGTATCCATGTAATATGCCTTTCTCTTTTCTCGACTAATATTCTTCAAGAATTATCGAAGAAAGCGAAGCATTAGAAAATCCTGTTCAAACTTAAAGCATACCGAACACACCAGTTAACCCTTTCCACTTTTTTCTAATTTTTTTTTTCTTTGTTCAAATGAGATATCTTTAATTTAAATTTTTATTTTATATAATTTATTTTAATAATTATACGATAATATATATTTTGTAATAAAACATTTATCATAAAATGCCGTTAATAAAATGAAACCCTAATTGAAGCCATATATATAAGTTCAAAAAATTAAATTATATTATATTTCTTATTATGATGATTATATATTTATATTTTAATTGATTAAACGTATATACGAAAGATTAATTATTTGCCAGAATAAATAAATCAAATAGTTGAATAAAACTTAAGGATTCGGTTTTCCGAATTATTAAATCCCTACATTCGAATAACGATTTAACTTAAGAACTTTAGTTCTTCTCACGAACACGGTGTTACTATAACGAAGAATTTCAGCTAGAAAAGACTATTAATTTAGTAAGAAGAGGCGCCGGTTCCGATCTTCCTACGATCGAAAGAGAAGACTCGTGCCTCCTGGTGTTAAGCCGCACCTCTAAACGCGCCTGGAGCACCTCCTTTTCTTTTCTAGTCTTTTATTTTTCCTCATGACTACCGATGCGAGCTGAAAACTGGTTTTGGAATTCCCTCTTCCTCTGTGTAACATGTTATCTCGTGGTCCTCATCCTCGGTGACGGTCGAGAAAGAAAGAGAAAGAGAGAGACAGATAGACAGACAGAAAGAGAAAAAAAGAGAGAGAGAGAGAGAGTGAGAGAGAGAAAGAGTAAGAGAGCTCGATCGAATCCTCTTCTCCTCTTTACCAGCCGCGTTTCGGATCTTTCTTTTATTTTCGAGCTTCTATCTCGGCGAAAAATCTATGTCAACCGACATGTTGACACGTGTTCGAAGGTATACCGCGAGAAGAGTAGAGGAACGTGACTGGCAGAAGAGAATGAGAGAGAAAGGAAGAGGATTCGAGGTAGAACGCCCTGGAAGTTGGGTTACTGGCATGCAGTGTCGGATTTCGTTGTGTCCGAAGAAAGAAAGGCGGAACGAGAGAGGAGCGGCGCGAAAAGGAAAAAAGAGAGATGAAGTAAGAGAGAAAGATAAAGAAAGAGAGAGAGAGAGAGAGAGAGAGGAAGAGAGGATGGGAGGAAGAAAGAAAGAACTCTCAAGGTGTGCACGCACACGCTTGTAACACGCATGCTCGAGTTACAGCCGTCTCATGAATCAAAACTATTTGAGAAGGGAGTCTGTTGGAGAAAGAAGGCTCGAAGACTTACTATACGTAGGTATACCTAACTTATTTTGCTGGACTCGCTCTATATGGAAGCGGGAGGTCATGTCGCGCGGTAGCTATCACGATCACGAGATATAAATTAAATTTTATTGTGACGCGAGCCGTCCGTCGACGTTATCTTCGAATCTGACTTGGCCACCCCGCAGAGTCCTCTAAAACGTTCATCCACCATTTGTTTTTTCAAATTCTAACCCATTTTCACATTTTTCTCTCTATACTTTCTTCTTTTTATCACGTTTATATGTGTGATATTTCACAGTTAAACGTATAATTAATTCATAAATATCAACTATGAGTTTAGCTTATTCTTTTCAATATCATTCTACGTTGGAGAGAATTTTTTCGTAGATATTAATATTCGAATTGTTGATATTCTTTGAGATATGAAAAAATGTATCGAGAAAGTGAATGAACTTAAACATTTAACATTTTTTCTATTTGATTGAAATCAATGGAAAAAATAATAATAAAAAAGGGATAGAGAAAGTAAGAAACGAATAGAATCGATCGTTCTAGGAAGAATCCGAAGGTAGAAGCGATTAACGGACACGGATCTCTTCGAATACCTCGATAATTTCTAAGTCACGAATCCCTCCTCCTCTTGTTGTACTCTACGCGAAATAATCGTGCTCTGTTCTCTACCTTAATGCCAACTATTTCTTTCTTTCTTTCTTTCTTTTTTTTTTTTTTTTATTTACCTTCACAACCCATTTTCTCTTATTTTCTATGTACCGGGAAAACGATGTAATTAAATTTTATTCATACATATATACATATAAACCTATATCATATAATTCGATACCATTTTCCACGATACCTTTGTATTTTTAAAACACTTAACTGAACATATTTCAATAATAATAAATTGATGAAAGAAATATATAATCGATAATTGGCTTTTGTTACACTTATAATATGCAATATCGCACGATCGTTGCTCGAAATTATAATCGCGATTATGTGATTATTATTATTTTTATTAATAATTGAGAAAATAAAAATAACGCGAGAATTAAATATATGATTTATATTATATTAAATGTGAAATTTACAATTTATCATTAACCAATATTGATGTATTTATAACAGAAAAGTATTGAGCTTTTGCTTTACTATTTTTTTACTTATGCTTTACTATACAACAAAGTATACAAAAGGGGTAAATAAACGTTTAGGAGACTAGAGAAGAGTTGCTATAAGCGTAACAAAGAAGCGAATAACAAGAGGAATGGTACATCGATAAGCGAAGAAAGACAAGCTATTATCCATGCTTATAGGGTTTGAGAATCAACCGACTCGATTCAAGAGACGGTAATACGGAAGCGAAACGTGCTGTCTTCGTGCGGCTCGTGTGTTCGGGTCAACCATAATAAAAGTAATTCTTCCGTCGAAGTAAGTCGACGTGGTCGAATGCAATGTTTTCGTTTCGTACTCTTCTATTCTATTGCTATTGCATCTCTTATTGTTAGTTATGTACTATACTTATATGTATATGTATGTATATATGTAGTTAGTTAAATATAGTGTATATACATATAGACCATACATACCAGTAAATTAATATTCGCGAGTAGGCGGTTAAACGTGTACGATGAAAGTAGGTTCCTTGTTCGAGCTCTTTCCCCTCCACGTTTTCTGATTCATCCGATGGATGTATTATCATCTCGAAAGAGAGAGAAAGAAAGAAAAACAGAGAGAGATTGAGAGAGAGAATAAGAATGTGAATATGACTGAAGCTAATCGAGCGATTCTTCTTGCGTAGTTTTCCCTTTCCATCGAATTTTTTCTTTTGTAAAAAACTCATATGTGGTGAAGCGCGCG